TAAACCTCTCACTTGTATGACAGTCGCATAAAATTCCATTATATTGAGAACAATTTGTGAACAAAACAAACAGATATAATAGGTAAACATGTCAAAAATAGGGGTACAACAGTCAGCATTGTGTTATAATCTTAATCACTATAAAACAAACAAATATGTCAACAAAGAAAAACAAAACGGCATATAGACGATTGTATCCTAATATTACACTTGGCCAACATATTTTATCGCCATTCCGCTTGACCAAAATATTATGCCGCTATAACAATAGACACCCTTTCCTAAAATAAAACTAGGATCTGGTTCTGACACATAGGTTAAGATGTACGTCAGTTTGTAATGATGTGAATAGACGAAATGACAATATTTCCTATTCTTATAGTATATCGTGTTATTAATTTGCGGAAATTATCTTTTGGAGAACTTGTGAACATCTATTATTGTATTAATGGAGAGATGTTTGCCTAATTTATACTGCGCACGTCAATAAATAATTATGGGTTAATTTTTTTGTTTCTATTACAATGTACATGTAATAAAGAAAGTTTAGAAAATTTCTACTTAGAACGTCATATTACAATTAAGAAATAATTCTTGCTCATTTTAACATGGGTAGGCATTATATTTGTCAATATCTTTATATCCAGCGTAAGCGAGGTGTAAAATGTTGACACCTCTAATGTCTATCTATATTAATATGGGCATGGAGCATGGCATGATATAATTATTTCGATTCTAATAGGAAAATTTATAACAATTATTTAGTACTTCGAAGTGGACCTATAAAACATGTTCGAAAGGCAGCCATTTTGAGTTCAACTTGATGAAGCAAAAACGTTATAAAAAATCACCCGTTTCACGATTTTATCATAACAAATGAACAGATACATGTGAACTTAATTAAAATATGTTATTTAATTTTCCAGCGTGCAACACCAACACAAATGTCCATTTTGATCTCCGGTGTTGTCCAAAATACAACTGACGTTGCAATTTCAAAGGAACGTCATATTAGAATTTATATTCGAAAGTTTATATTCAGATATGCCATAAACTTTACGTTGGTGATCGAAATTTTCTGTCCGAAATGAATAATGAAACTAAATTTCAATAAAATAAAAATATGTTGAACATCTTTTTTTTCACTTTGAGTTGGATGTAATTTCGTTATATCCTGGTAGTAAGCAATGCAATCGCCATTTCATAAAATACAAGATGTCGTTAATTATTGCTACTTGACTAGTACGTACAATTCCAAATAAAAATAAAACAATTGCAAGAGTTTTTCTGTCATTTCTTGGTTCTAAAAATGTATCTACCTTCTATTAATTTCGTACAACGGGATTACAATCGACCATTTGAATGCAGTAAACAAGGTTCTAAACACAATGCAGTAACTTTGTTCACAGCTTCTGAAAGTTTGAATTTTATTTAAGTGCCTTGGTAAATATTAATTCATCATATCATTCTGTTTGGTCTAAAGCGCTCTCTGTACAAGTTGTAACAATAAAAACTAAGTGTAAATGGCATCTTATAGCGCCACACGTATTCCTGTCTTTATACATCCTTGGCTGTTTGAGAGTTTCCGATGAAGGAAAAGACTTTCGGATGCGTTATTTTCATTCACTTGTACTAAACGGCAATACTCATACTAGAAACGAATATAACATTTATTAATTAAACGTGGTAATTTTCGCTTATTATGTGATATTAAGGTAAGTTACGCGAAAATGTTCCCCTGCGCAAATAGATTGTTAAAATCAATAATATTGACATGAAAGGCGTTAGATGGGCGAAGTTAACACTCGCGAAGAGTCACTGTTATTGCCCGATCCCAGGAAAGATATCCATGTTACATGTAACTACAAAACCCTTCAGCACCATATTTCACATGCTGCTACTTCAGTCAAATGTAAATAAATCTTACAGGCAAACGAGAGAATCAATATATAGCTTTGTTTTAAGTTTAAATAAGATTTAAGTAAAACTTTTGATGCAGCTTAACAGATTTTATCCACGTGATTTTTTATTGCGTATATTTAACCAGATATTTAATTAAAGCTTTAAGAATGTTTGCTAAAATTATAAAACAAAATAACAGGGTGAGAGAGGTTTAGAAATATGATTATATGGATTTCTCCCGTCCGGCAGTCAAATCCCTGCGAATCTGGTGTCTGTTTGGTTGAGTAGGATGTACATGTATGAATACGCAATCATGTCATGTCGGGATGGGGACGTTCAATATATAGGTCTGTATTTAGATAGTGTCGCGCTCTTTGTACCTTACAAAATCAGCGCAACAGCTCTGTTCGTAGTCCGTCTTTATCATATTGTAAGACTTAACATGTCTGCCCTATCAAAAATACACTTGTCGTCCAGTGGTAGTCCATATTTCCCGCCCCGGTCATCCCACTTTGCAGAACCATCTTCTTTGATCGATAGTTTAATCTGTTATCGTCCAACATACATGTACATGTATACAAAGAATGTTTGCCATACAACGATAAACAGACAACAATTGATCATTATATACTGACGGACTTTGAAAACGCAACACACATTAAGGTGATTTTTGTTTTACCAAATCATGATTGATCCTCATATAACTACTATTCATGCTTACCATAATTCTTTCTGTTTAGAAAAATGCAATACCTGACTTTCCTGAGGTAATTGAACATACTGGATTATTGAAGTCGCACGAATTTCTTGAAGCGATATTTGAAACCAATAAATGCGTTTTTTTAAAAGTTTTTTCTTTGTGAAACAATTCTTTCAATCCATACCCACACTTAAATCAGTAAAAAAATGTTTTATCTTCATATTGCCGAAAATGAGCAATGAAAATCTAAATCAGGCCATAAGAATATTGTAGGCAGTGATACGTGAACGTGCTGTCGCTAGACAGTTTCAGCTAAGAAACTAATTTTACTGCCCTTACAACCACGATACAGGCAGACAGGTTTTATTGATGACCACCCATGTTCAGATCCATAGTGACAACGCCACGTCAACGAAAGATTAAATAACGTCATTTGCGAGACATGTTTACGGCCGCAACGTATACTGCTAATTAAGTAGTCGAATGTCATGATAGACAGATTCATGCCATAAATGTTTCCCATATACTGAAATGCCAAAGAATCGACTGCAGACAAACATTTAAAGCCCTAAAGTTTGAACCGCATAATTGCCAAAACACACTGTAATGGATGGTACAGATGCCAAATCAAAAGGTTAAAAATAGAACTAAAAAAAATACCAACAGAATTGGTCGACCTTTCTGTCAATCATTCAGGAGCTGGTTACGCAGTCATTGACTTCGACGGTGGCATATCCATTGGTAAGGAAACAAAACAGGTTTTCAGTGCATACCATATGATTTAAATATTAACCATGACGTAATCAATTCAAATTTCAAACTGAGAACATTTTTTTTTTTTTTGACAATGAAGTAATGAATGAAATTGATGTTTATACATTTATTTTACTAAAATTGTATATTTGAAAATGAGAATTAATAAGAATAATCTAGTGTTGCGTTTTTAATGTACGTCAGTATACATAAGATTTAAACGTTTATTTTTCTCTCCCTCCGTTTGCAAAAAAAAACCCACACATTTTGGTACACCTGACTTTTGAATGTAATGTTATGTAAGTAATACTATTCATTTGGTAATTTATATATTAAGTGCATTTATCTTTTTTTAATTTTAAACTGCCCATCAGTCAAAAGTACCTCACTAAATTAATTCGAGCTTATGAATGTAAATCAATTGGCATCTTACAGTTTATTCATTGAACATTTTATTTGTTCACATCCTATGAAATATGTAAATTAACAAAACGTTATGACAGACAGTAATTGTTTGATTTCCTTATCAGTTTTAACCTGTAGTTTGTTCATATAATTCCGCATCCGCATCTTAATTCTTCATACAAATATGAATGTTATCTTCATCTGACAAGGAATTGCGCTCAAACTGGTGCTAGAGTCAGTACGTCTTGAACTTGCATTACTATGTGAGCTTTTGCTCCTTGTTGAAAGCCTTGCTGTACCTTTAAAGAAGTTGAACAACAATGAAAACACCGTTCCGTTGTATTTTGTTTTGCCAACTGCATGTAGGGATTTTGTGTCATGAAATTTTAATACAACATATCCCTTCTTTTCCAGTAAACAGAATTCTCAAATAAGCATCCTTAATTCAGTGTGTACATATACATTTGTAAATTAATACAAAGTAATTTTAAAAACAATGTAACTATTTATCAATGTTTTTATTATCTGATTGATTTTTAGTAAACAAACAACCTAAAGTCGGGCTTTATATTGAGCTTTTCAAATCAACTACATAACAATATACTAGTATACTCTCCAAAATATTCAAAAGTTATGCAAACAATACAATTTTTTATATACATGTACACTACAAAATATGCCATCAACAGTTTTAAACATACAATTCTTGGTAGATAACAAATAAATCTCTAATAAAGTTAAAAAGCATACTAACAAGACCAGATTTTAGAATATGTGGATGCAAAATAAGGTATATTTTAAAAACATATCATTTTAAGTTACTTAGAAAAATAAGTACTGTAAATACATTTTTTGAAGTTCCCATTTCATAATTTTCATAAAACGTTGCCTTAGATTCAAAGCAATTAAATTTTTGAAGGAGGTCCTCAATTTTCTTCTTGAATTTCTAGTTTTTTGTTGCAAACTGGGAATACAAAATATCTATATTTCATCAAACAGTGTACTCTATATAATATACAATTTGCTTTATACACACCCTTTGTTGGTTCTATTTCAATTACGTTGCAATACCAGTAAAGTGAAGTCACCAATTAGTCTAGTTGATGGAATATTGAAATGTTTAACTTGCTTTCTATTAAAACAAAAATATGCATTTTCATTAAAATTAAGTTTGAGAATATCATGCCTATATTTCCAATAGCATAATTAAAAATAACACTAACGACAGCAATTGTCTTACCTTGTAGATTATCTCATATCATAGCACAGAATGTAAAAGTTTTCCCAGCTCAACGATTGATTTTGTCAAGTCTTATAACATCATTGTTTGTCTTAATTCCAATAAACTCAATACTAATCAACAACTATCTTAACAATGTAAATTTACTGTAAACAAAAAAATCGCCGTTCCTCTACAATCATAGCTAGGAAATAATTACACAAGCTTCCTGATATATTTTATACCCATACGAATTTTTATGTAATTGAATTGCGCGTAAGCTATCCTCAGACCGCCAATCATAGTATGGATACTATAGCACAATAAAGATAATATTGATCGTCTCATCCGATGATTTTTGAATATCGTGAAAGCAAAACTTGAGTAGATTTGTCATTACAAAATATTAATAGGGATTAAAAGGGGTTCGACGACGGGGATTGGGATCTAAAAAATATGATTTTACCTCACATGCTCTGCCTGTTACAGATCAAGAACCTCGCATGATTGTCATTTGTTATATATTCATGTTTTATCATTTTGGGAATAAGGTGTTGATAGTTTATGTTTACTTAAATTGTTTTTGAACATCGTAATAGACCTGTTCAACAACTCTCGATACCGACTAATGACACCTACAATGAAATAGAGGGGTCGTACCAAAGATAAAAAATCATTCAGACATACCATGCATGTAACATATGCGTACATATTCAATTTGAACGGTTTTATTTTGAAAAAGAACGGATAATGAGTTAATAGCAGGCATGGGGTAATGCAAATTTGTAATTGTAATGCATGGTAATGCATTACATTTTTCCAAGTAATTGCATGTAATGTGTAATGCAGCAATTTTTGCATTACATGTAATTGTAATTTAATGCATTATTTTAGCAAAAAGTTGTGTAATTTCATGCATTACATTGCATTACATGGCATTACTTTTTTCACATACTTAATATATCTTTAACATATTGTTGGAGATTAAACTAAAGCAGAATTTAAGATTTTTTGATTAACTAAGAACAAAATCATTTGAATATTGATTTTCTATTCTATTTATTTTTCCCACTTTACATAAATCACTAGAGGGAATTCGGAGATTGAGCCTTGCCCAAGGTAGAACTTGAAAAGAAAAAAAATAAAGTGGTTTAAATACTAGAATGACCAAATTACAATTCTAAATGAATAACACAACATTGTGTATCAGATAGAGTTTTTTTTTAATTATTACATTTTATTTTATACATTTTCCTGCATAAAAAGATTGATATTTGAACATTGTCATAAAACACTAATTTGTTTGTTTTAAATCAATCTTTTCACCATTTTGACACTTGGTCATAAATTAAGCTCTATGTTTATTATATAATCAGGAAAGAAATTCTCAGTAAATATTTTGATTGAAATTTTAAAAAAAAATGCATTTTTATAAAAGTAAAGTTAACATTAAGTTAAAATAAGTATTAAATTTCATCTCTGTAATTTCTTTTTTGAGAAAACACAGAGATGTATACCTTCAAACATTAAAACCAATGATAGAAGAGCAATCTACTTTGATAGTTTTTGTGAAACAGTCGGGTAGTCAGAAATATTATTCATCATGAAACCTTCGAAACCCTTATGATGTTAAAATGTAATAGTCGTATTGAATAGACTATTTACATGTATACTTAAATTCAATACATGGAACAGTAACTGCATATGCTAGAATCTTTTGTGACTTCATGTTGTTTTTCAAAATGTTTGATTTTTCTTTTCACTTGATAATAAAATTTACAAATGTAATGTGTAATTCAATGCATTACTTTGCAAAAGTGATTGTAATATAATGCATTACTTTGATAAATGCATGTAATTGTAACTGTAATTTTATGCATGGTTTTGTCAGAGTAATTGTAATATAATGCATTACATTGCAATGTAATTCGCCCCATGCCTGGTTAATAGCTATAGGCGGATTTTCTTTGATTTTTTTTTCTTTCTCTCATATAATATAACTTATTATATGTATATATGTATTTATAAACCGTTCTACATTCAATTCTATAAACCTAAAAACAAATCTACTGCAATCCATTCGCATCCGAATCCTTTGTTCCTTCAGTTATATATGATTATAATTATTTAAATGTTCGAGTTTTCCATGGAAGACTGCAACGCCTGACTATAGCCACTAACTCGTTTTTGGAATGCCTTTATATCACTCTACACTTTATTATCCCCAAAGAAACACAGTAAGGAGAAGATTTTATCACGTGACTTTCTGTCCGGCCGTAAGTCGTTCAAAACACACTTATGAACATTGTAGAGGTTGCGTTTCTCAACAGACCTTCACTACTGTAATACTTGTTGTACATAACATTTAGAATGGAAACGGGAAATGTGTCAAAGAGAACAACAACCCGACCAAAGAGCAGAAAACATGTATATTTAAGAGATAACTGTATTGTGTTTGAAGCTTTGCGGACGATCGTTGGTAGTTTTACTTTCGCAAATTGAGTTTACCTGGCGACGCGTACTGAAGCTGGTAAACGGATATATGAGATAGTAAAACTACCGATGCACGTCCGCAAATTTTCAAATACAATACAGTTATCTCTATTCTAATGCAAAATAAACAAATCATTCAATTTTAGTCATTATTTTGGTGTAAAATTTTCAGCGAAATAATGTTATCTTCTTTGGCACCGAAACTAGGTGACCGTATATGTATGCTTCCGGTATCAAACGTAAACACCGGGTGTTTTCTGGCTTCTCGTCGTCCGCCTCAGAATGTAATAAAATTTGATAAAAAGAAGATATTAAGGTGCAAAATGTGAGTCTTTTGCTTCTTAATTGAGAAATCACAAATCACTTTTTTCCGGAATTCAAAATCTCGGCTTCCCTCCGTTACAGAACAATTAAGATAAGGAAGAGAGCTAAGGAATTTTACGCTGATTGTCATCCAATCAGAACCATTGATACAAAGCTATTGCATTAGAATGAATATTATGACCGCTATGAGTTGTTTTCGTCCCGAATGGCATCAGACCTTGTCCCTTTGTTATTAATACATTTTCTTCGTCCCCCAACATGGTTTTGACCTTTAGGAAAACCACGTCGAGTGTCTTGCAAGAAGCTAGAACTGATTACCCTGTCTGAGAACTTTTTTTGATCCCAGTTTTACGGGATCTATGTTTTCTCATACAACTTTGTTTTTCTTTGAGAAATTGACCTTTTGTTCTTGTCCTCGGATTTTCTTTTGGTTTCTTTATTTTCCTTTTTGTTGATCTACGCTTCGGTTTTTCTACTCTTATCTAGTTTTAAGAATGCGTCCCTATGGTCCTTTTTTTATTTTACTTCTCTGACCAAGCATATGGGAGGTTTGGAATCCAAATTAGTATAACTCCCGCCGCATATGTTATGCGCCTTTCCTAACCCCGGAATATGTCGGTCAATGGTATATTTTTTTCCTCGTTAGAGAGTTTAGTTTACAATATTACATGTATGCTGAGGCCTTATATTTGATCTCTTTTCTTCCGTCGGGACCATTAATTCCAATTTCACTGCTTATTGATGATTCCACGACAGTATTGAAGATCACGCGGTAACTCTGAAGGTCTGTTTCATGTGTTGCATTGTGTGATTTTATGCTTTATTCGTGCCTTGTCCATTATCCGTTCTTTTCCTCAATATTGTCAAAAATCTATTTTGTGCTATTGGAACAAAACAAATATATGACCAAAGTATGAAATAGGACAAATATCTAAACAATCTGTACAAATTGTCATTGAATACAGATTGGTGAATTAAGAAACTACGAAATATAAATACATTATGGAGGCATCCGAGGCCAACAAATAGCATACTTTTTATAGACATGTGCCGCGCTTGTCAATAGACGTAAAAAAATTGTTTGATTAATAGATATAAGAAGATGTGGTATGAGTGCCAATGAGACAACTCTCCATCCAAGTCAAAATTTATAAAAGTAAACCATTTACTACTTATTTTTCCCCACTGTTACATATGCTTGACTGATTGTTGGTTGCTTAACGTCCATTGGTCAGTATTTCATGCATTTTCAGGATGAAAACAAGTTAACAATACGTTACATAGGAAACTTAAATTTCAACTTCTAAAAATTAAACAGAATATTAAAGACCTCCCTTTTACTCATATTCAATTCAAAAATAAAAGGGAAATTAAATCAACAAATGCTGTACAACCAAAACACGAAAAATTTCGTTGTGGTATAAATGCAGGTAATTATTATTATATACAATCATTTCAACTTTTGAGACGACCACTCACATCTTACCTGTTGGAGTCGTTGTCAACTGTAAGTGTAGACAATTGTTGAAAAGGTCTATGAATACTATGTTTTATGGTTTTGGCGGAGTTGCACGAAGTGAAAAATCGGGTTGTAGAGGAAAAGTGGGTACCTACTTCGTTAATCAATTTCTCCAACAGTTTTCAACCCAGATTCCAAAATTCACAGAATCATTGCACACGTATTGCGGTTGCGTAATTGCTATCATGAAATTGTTTGAGGATTTTTTCCCTCATTTTGCAACAAAGTTTCCAGCAGATTTTGTGTAATCAACATATACTACAGTTTTTAAACCAGGTCTTTGAAACTTCACAGACAGGTTGCATATCTCTTGAAATTATGCACCTGATATTGTAGAATTGATTGGGGACATGGAAATATTTTCCAGACTTTGGAATGTAGTTTTCCACAAATTCCCAAACCCACCCTAAAAATTACTATTTTTGTGTGAATAAATTTATAACCTAAGAAAATTGAATGCAGAATGATTGCACATGTTTAGAAAGCTTTAATAAACAGACTATTACGAAATAGTTTAAGGATTTTTACGCCATTTTTCTAGCTATAGACTCATGAATGTTGAGAAGAGCAAGTGTATATAAATAAGTGAGCTAATATAACGAGGTGTGTTTTTTTTTTTTTTTTTTTTTATTTATTTTTTTTTATTTTCCATTAATTTGATCCCATATGTTAATTAAACATTATCATAACAGTTGTTAAATGATCTGATGTATAAACAAGTTGCTTTATTTATAAAAAGAAAAGCAAAACGTGAACTCGAGACCTGATTTGAAATAATTGACTGTGAATAGAATGCGGTAATGCAGATATTAAAACACCTTTATTGAAAATATGTTATTGTGTGTAGATTCATGCACAGTCAATTAAAATTACTG